ATTATGCCTATTAATGCCACTCTGTTGTTAATGTAAGCATCACAATTACAGCATCACAAAAACTTAAAGCTGTTGCGGCGATGTGAGATATCTGATGAGATCATTCAATCGATTGCAGTCACTACTTGTTATGACTATATCGAAAGCTTTCAGCAACGGCATCTGTAATAAAAAACAACGGTAACAAAAAAATCAGTTGCTTAAGGTTGTGAAGCACAACAACTTCGAGATTGCTAAGGCTCAAAAACCTTTCGTCGTAGAATCACGCCCTCTTAGGGATTTGGAGGGACTCTCTGTTCTTCAGAATCGTAACATCACAACGATGGTACGTTTTCATTGGGCATCCCACGGGGGTGGCGGGGGGGGGGTCGTATAGGGTCGCTGAAGGAGAGGAGACTCATCTCGCCTAGAAAGACTTTTTTGTGATTGCTGGTTTTCCTGTTTTACGAGGCTACACCTCCGCCTATTGAAGAGATGTAACCCCTCTCACCTCCTCTGCACGGCAGATTTCCGGGAAAATTTGTCCGATTATTGCCCGGTTATGGATGGTTGGTCGTACCGGAGAAGAAAACTCGGCTTGGCGAGGGGAGGAGGGGGAAGGCGTCGCATTCAGAAGGAATTCTCCCAATTTAAGGACACTGACCTCAAAGGCAGGTTCAACTACTCAATAGCTTGTGGAAATGCTGTTTGGGAAGTCAAACTACCCCTAACCACAAGTTTTCAGGGAATTCGATGACATGAGTGTCTTGGCCCGGCACCTGTTCTGCAGGTGCCAAGGATCTTTACCTCAAGCCAATGTGATACTGGTATTCAGTTGGTGCTAATGGAGATAACGTTATAGCTAAATGTAATCCTAAGGCCAGATTTCCATGGGAACCCAGTCTAAATTTCAAAGAGTAGAGTGTAAAGGGCGAAGAGTACTCACTTTTTTACTCAACGTACAAATACTCACCTCTTCTTCCAAGACACCGATTTTTAGGATTTTCTTCTCTTGCCACCCGTCCACCATAGAAGCATCTGATTCACTATCACCTATTACTACCACATTAGTTCGCCTTCGAATACATCCTGTCTACTCCATGAATGAGATCGCGTAAATGAGCCATAGTTTTGCTTAGCGAATGAACAGGGGGACATGTGAAACCGGTAACGTAACCGATCTGGAACGAACTTAATTTGATTAGAAGTCAGATTAGCACCATCAATATTTATTTACCTATACAAAAACAACTATCAGAATTTTGCTCATCGAAGCGCTTGTGCTTGGAGGAGGCCTTTTCGATCGAGCAAAGTCCACGTCATGCTTCTAGGCAGCGACAAAGACCCAAGCTTATGCTGTTCGTGAGAAGGTGCTAAGGCTAAGAAAAGGGTGTCATGTTCCGACGTTGACTAGTCCTTCTCAGAAAACATGACATGACATGTTTTCGGGTATGTGATAAGACAATCGTGATATGCCGCTGGGGAAGGCATGGCTACACTGCATGGTGGACGGACAGTTGTCCTGCCCGGCCGTTTGAACTTTGGTGTCAAAGGGGCGCGAGAATTGAATATCGCTCGTCATAGAATCATAATATAATGTGGCCTATCCTGCCAAAGAGTGGCTCCCAAGGCACACAACGCCTCAAAGTACAATTCATATTTTTCCATACCTCATCAAAAAACATTTTTGTTTGCTGCTATCGTTAGGTTGCCGGGAATGTGCCCCTAATAATTGTCGTATAGCTTCCTCGATTATATCGGTAATGCCAGCAGAGAATACTAACAATGGTATAGACAGTTCTTCGAGCAGATGAAGGAATTGGCGCATACTTTTTCTGAATAAAAATAATTATTACTGTTCTGATTATTCTGGACCAAAGGTAATTAGAAACGTCAGCAAAGGCCAAAAAATTAGATTGCCGTAAAAAATGGGGTTGCCGTAAAAGCTTTGCTCAAAGAAAAACTGAAGAATAGCCTCCCCCCCGCGTGCGAGATGGACCCGCGGTTTGCAGGTACCGTGATAATATTTCCCGCTGAAGTGCAAATGGACCATGAATCGGGGTAGTGATAACCGGGTGCCGTCTCCTAACCCTGCGCGCCCTCTAGGTGCAGCACTTGCGCTTGCGTCAATTCCAGAATCTCGCAGCGAAACACGGACTGCGCGGTAGAGAACGATCAGAAACAGACGGCGCTAAAAAGTGCCTGCTATAAGGCACTTTCTGGCCGTGTTGCAGGCCGGACGGATTGTGGCGACGGCACCCGGGTATCACTAACTCCGTTCCCATGCGGTTTTGAGTGGAGGAAGACGCCCGGTACTGCAGCTGCTGACTCACACATGACAAGGACCAGGACCCACGGATGAGTGTGCTGCTTGTGTTCTAGCTTTAGCAGGCATCCCCGTCCCGATAAAAAGGCTAATGACCTTTCAAGATGTGTCAAGACGATCCGGAAGGAGATTGCGGAGGCTGCGCTACCTTTAAAAAGTGAAATTCGGCAAGAATTCCGCCTTAAGCTAACCAATTAGGCCCATTGGCGCCCCTTAGGCCTATGATTTTATTGCCGACCCCAACCGGCTGCTAGCTACTAGCTAGTAGCCACTATACTATCTCTCTTCATTCCGAATGGTGAGAGTGAGGTGATAAGATAAAAGAGCTGATATCTTTATGATAACGACGAGTGGAAATTCGTACAAACATGCGTTTTCTTCATTGCATGCATGTACAAGTTGGGGTCGATATGGAATCCTATTTAGGGCATTCTCGGCTGCTTTTCCGCTGCTTTTCTCCGCTAATCAGATACCTAGCCCTTTTTCGTTCCTGTGTTCCGTTACCCCACAGTCTGTGGTCGCGGGCTTTCGCAAGACGAACAGGCTTTAGGAGCAGGCGGACAGAACTTCGGATTATGCTCATTGCATTTTTGCACAAGAAGTCCTTTAAATGCCCCCGCTTATCTACTCCCTCGAAAGGCTCTGATACCAACGGTAGTGCTGCATTCACAGATCGCGGATATGGAGAATTCGCGACTTCAGAGAGTCTGCGACAAAGGTTTAAGGACGCTGGATGGGATCGCAGAGTTGTCAGAACTAGCGGAAGACCGTTTTGGCAGCCTCTCTTTTTCCCCTCGATGAGAAGGTGAGAGGGTGGAAGGAGGGGGAGGACTGCGCCAATGATGTACAGTTTCCGTTCCGTACTTGGATCGACGGACCACGCTCTTAACTGTTTCAAAGAGCTCGTAATTGGGGAAAAATGCGTGAACTACTCCTTGCAGCCAATTGTTTCGTATCGTGACGCCCTCATTTTCGCAAAGAAATGGAAGAAGCCCCCCAATTCTGCATGCCGAAGTTTTTCACGAATAAAAAAGATCTCACAAAAAGGCACTTTTAATTAGTCAGTCTTCAAATTTACTGATAACGGACAAAACGTCCAAATTATCCTAGCAATTGCGAATCTAGGACGGGAAAAAGAAAACTAAATTGGAATATCGTCACGATGTACCATACTCCGGACAATGGTGTCGTGAGAAGCGTTCCACCTTAATGTTTCCTTTCAGTGCGGAGAGAAGAACCACCGAGAAGAACCAACCAACTACGGACGTCACCAACATTGAATCACAATTAATAACTCCTTATCATTGAACGAATGCGCTGGAACCTAGGAGGGGAGGAGGAGGGTTCATTGCAGTGCCATCCGGAACGTGGCACGTGCGCAAACCAGAGTTTTGACCACTATTAGACATAGGACCATAACATTTAATCAAATACACGTTCACGGCAGCTTACGTCCTATGCCGTCTACCTAATGGCCTTATTACAGAAAACTTGACAACTGATAACTTGTCTCTCATTAACAAGATCGTCGATTACTTGGATTAAAACCAATTCAAATGCTAGCAACTGAAAGCGTGGAAATATACGAGGCGTGACCTAACAGATCCTGAAACGTGAAAAAATGTTACGGATTCATCAACGAGGTTATTTCTGCAACAAGACCATGAAACGAAGGCTGGATAATGTAAACCGCCATTAGCTAATTAATTTGACACCAAAGTGCTATGCCGAGGGAAGCTAGGTATGCTAGTTTCTGTCATATCTTCTGAAGGGCGCACCAAGAAAATATCGTTGACGGATGGTAAGAGAACTAGATCTTCACCTCTCGCTGACAACTGCGAGCTTTCTTGAAAATCTCTCTTCTGAGAATGAAAACATCCCAAATTATGGACTCCCAGGGAATTTCAGGATTCTCAGAAAGGAGCGCTCTAACTTCTCAGCCACTTGTGAAAACTTACAACTGATGAAAATCCGGAAAGAAAAATTCAGAGAATAATGGGAGCTAGTTTCCACCTAAGTGGTGAACAAATATTCCCCCATGTGGTGAGTGAAAGAAAACCAACAGGAAACCAACACTCAAAAAATCAAAGCCTATAAAAAACTTGCTAATAAATAAATAGCAGAATAGTTAACGCGGAAAAGGCAATAAAAACAGAGGGGAAAAAATGGCGCTGTTCGACTTGGGAGGGGCATTTTGCACTTCTGCTAGGTCCTTTCGATGGTTCATGTATATTAACAGGTCTCATTTTAATGAGACATGTAAACCCTTGCGAAGGTGCGAAGTGGTGCATGTGAGCAACTTTGCTTACAGAAATCTACAAGACTTCCTGTTCACCCGTAAGGCTTCGCTGAAAACCATCTAAGCCCCCAAAAAGCGTAACTGCACTGCAAAATAAATGAAAGACAGATAATAAGCAACTCACCATCCTGTTTGCACAAAGGCTCGCTCTTCTTCAGTTGTACAATTGGATAATGCCGTTTCATAATTGGCGTTCATTCTTTGCTGCTGAAACATTGAGTTCACAAAGTACAAAATCGAGTGAACACAAGTTAAACAATGTTAACGTTATAGGAAAGAAATTTTCTCCAGCGTTGCGACTTTGAATGCAGCGTTAAGCTGCGTTTGTTTGCCAGCTATGGGTCTAGTGGATGGAGACACAATGGCTGAAGCTTACACAGGAATCAGGCACCGACTCTGCGCTGTTCAGCGACGGAGGGGGAGGGGCATTTCACATTTTCGCTGCTTCACTAGTTACGGTTTACAAGTCTTACTCCAGAGAAACTATGGACTCTTGTGAGTCTAGAGCAAGCTCATCTTGCCACCGTTAGAACCTGTCAACTCTTATAAGCTCACGAAATGGCTCTCTAGATGGGTCGAAGGAAAGTAGCAAAAATGCAAAATGCCCCCCCGCCTCCCCCCCCCCCGCTTTTGCCAAACTAACAGCCTCTTAATTTATCGCTTTCTCCGACAAGCAAATGGGTGGAGACTTGCTTCTGAGAAAAATGTTTCTGGATAATGACTTCTTCTGATTTTTTTCTCAAGGGCGCTATATCCCACTACCCATGTGAAGTTGCTGTAAAAGAAAAACACGTCTTAGCATAGCATTTACCAAGACGAAACGGCAAATCCAAAGGCTTTGT